ATGAAAAAATTACCATTATTTAGATCCATCCCACCAATTAGAATTTTTGTGTGAGCCTTGATAAAGAAGATATTTAAGAGAGTTATTCAAATACACAGTCAGCGTTGATGGTGAGATCGGCAAATATTATATGCTATCAAAATATCAATTTTTGATACTAGAAAGAATACTTTGCCATACCTGGCAACTGTATACTGTTGAATGCAAGTAACCTATTTATATTAAATATTTGTTCATTTGCCAAACCTTTTTAAGGTAACCACTGTGTAGCAGGCTCTGTTACTGGATGATTTGGAGGTAGGGCAACTGGGCTACAATCACAGAGGCTTAAGTGTATCAGGTGCTTTTAGATATTGTGTCTTTCCTTAGGCTCAACACATTTTTAATAGGTTGAGATTATTACGCCTATTTTTCAGAGTCTGGAAGTTTGTTTTAGAGAGGTTAAGTGCCTAATGTCATGAAGCCAGAACACAGATCTAGGACATGCTTTTTTGTCTCTAGTACCCAGTCTATTAACTTGTACTCTCTGAGAGGAGCTACTTCTGATTCTGAAGGAATAAAAATAAACAAATATCTTACCAAATCATACAGGTATTCCTTGGGGGCAGTTACTGCAGTGGATTTATCTTTGTTGCCCTAAGGTCTAGCAGCATGCCTGGACCCAAGCAGATGTCATGTGAATGTTTGTTGAGTTCAAGTGAACCTGTGGGTACTGATGGCTAGCAGTGGAACAATGTGTCCTCTCTAAAGGGTTAGCTGTCTTTTAACAGGAAATCTCTAGAGAAACATTGCAGTGTCAGCCATGAGAGATGGATTTTTTTTTGTAATGCAGGCGTCTGACAAGATTTGATTGAGGCATCCACTTCAGAGAGCCATTCACTTTAAAGGTGACTGTCTTGAATGAATGCATTGCCAGTCACAGGACAGCTGAGGAGCTAGCCTCCCCACCCTACACCCCCACACTCATTTGTTTTAGATATATTAGTAGATTTCAATAACCGACCATTCGGACCACTTGTTTTTTCTCTTTCAGTGAGCTTTAAACTTTTGCTGTTATGTTTTAAATTCACCAATAAAGAGCAAACAACCCAGCCCACAAGTGGGAAGAAGATTTAAATCAGCAATTCTCCAATGAAGACATGCGCATGGCCAATAGGCACATGAAAAAATGCTCAATATCGCTAATTATGAGAGAAATGCAAATCAAAACTACGATGAGGTATCACCTCACACCACTCAGAATAGCCATCGTTCAAAAGTCCACAAGTGATAAATGCTGGAGAGGCTGTGGAGAAAAGGGAACCCTCCTACATTTGCGATGGGAATGTAGTTTGGTGCAGCAATTATGGAAAATAGTAGGGAGATTCCTCAAAAATCTGAAAATTGACCTTACCATATGATCCAGCAATCCCACTCCTGGGCATATACCCAGAGCAAACTCTAATGTGAAAAGATACATGTACCCCAATGTTTATAGCAGCACCATTTACAATAGCCAAGACATGGAAGCAATTTAAATGTCCATTGATAGATGACTGGGTATAGAAGTTGTGGTATATTTATACAATGGGATACTACTAAGCCATAAAAAAGAATAAAATGCCATTTTCAGCAACATGGATGAACCTAGAGATCATCATTCTAAGTGAAGTAAGCCAGAAAGAGAAAGAAAAATACCATATGATATCATTCATATGTGGAATCTAAAAAAAAAAAAAAAAGACACAATGAACTCATCTACAAAACAGAAACAGACTTGCAGAAATAGTAAACAATCTTATGGTTACCAGGGAAAGGAGGTGGGAAGGGATAAAGTTGGTAGTTTGAGATTTACAAATGTTAGCCACTATATATTAAAAAAAGATTTTAAAAAAAGCTTCTACTATATAGCACAGGGGACTGTGTTCAATATCTTGTAATAACCTTTAATGAAAACAAACATATGTATGTATATGCCTGACTAGGATATTGTGCTGTACACCAGAAATTGACACATTATTACTGATGGTACTTCAATTAAAAAAAAAAGTGTTTGAGATGGTGAAGTCATACAGTCAAAGGAACTTAGATTTTTGTTTCACTATTTGAAGGGAAGGCTCCTCACAGAACAAGCCAACTTCCATTGGGCTGTGGTGTAATTAAAAAATAATTATTTATTGCATTAAGCTGCTGAGATTTGGGGGTTCTATGTTGCAACAATTAGCTTATTTTAATTAACATTTGAGAGAAGACCTGAGATAAACAAATGCATTAAATCACAGAGGTAATGGAAGGTCCCACTATCAGGGTTAGAGATTAGGCATTAATTCTGATATGGAAGTCACGTAGCTCTTTAGAGGTGGGGAAGTGACATGATCTGACATAGGGTAGAAGGAGATAATGGATGGACAAGGCTATTTGCAGAGGCATCCAGTAGGGAGCTGTTATGGTACTCCAAGTCAAAAATGATGATGGCTTTAGCCAGATGGTAGCAGTGGAAATGGTCAGAATTTGTTAGATTCTGCTTGTCTTCCAAAGGTAGAGCTGACATTATATACTGACATCTTGGATGTGATTTATGAATGAAAAGAATGGGTCAAGGGTGACTCCAAGTTTTATGTGATAATTTCCTGAGATGAGAATGAATCAGCTGGAAGAAGCAGCTTTCCATATGCCTGGTGACACATTAATTTCAGCCCTGTAAACTTGATTTTGGACTTCCTGTAATTTTTATTTGTATAAGCCACCAACTTGGCAACTTTTTGCAATAGCCAGAAGAAACCAGTACACCCATCATGTTTAACTTTAAGTTAGTTTGTGTTCTCTTCTAATTTCTAATTAATTTAATCTAATTTCTAGTCTTCTAAAGTTCTAATTCCACAGTTTCTTGGTGTGCTTTCTCATTCTGCCTGACACATTTTTAGCTGTGAAATCTTTGACCAATCATTCATCTTCTCTGTTACTTGGTTTCCTAATATTTAAAATGGGACTAATAATAGTATCTATTTATACGGTTATTATAAGAGCTTAATAAGTTTATATTGGTTAGAAGCCTAGAACAGTGCCTAGCACTGGAAATTACTATGTAAGTTGACACTAGATAAATGTTTTAAAAAGTAGGTGAAACATCTTGGGGGAAAGGAAATGGAGAGAAAGCCATGAATGAGGCTTATCTTTGCTTTGACTACCTTCTGTCCACTTTGGAAATAAAAGATTAAAAACATTCCATTTGGGTTGTATTTTTTAGACAGTTTTCATTCAAAAGAAAGGCACATACTGCTGTCATATGTTTAAATCTCTGTCAATTATTATTTACATATTTAGGAAGTAGCCTTTAAAAATTGTGAATTGGAAAAATTATACCATAAACCTCATTTCTGTATAAATTCAGTCCAATGGAAAAATATAACAAACCAACCAATACTGTGAGACTGGTATTTTTAATATAACAGAATGAAATTCTTTGGAAAAGAGAATAAACTTTCAGAGATTTCACTGATTTCTGTACCAATTGCTCCTGCAAAAGGAAAATAACATATTAGTTTTGTATAATAAATACCAAATTACTTACAGAAAATTGCTTTTTTTTTTTTGCTTCATGATTTTAATCTTAATGATTTTAAAGGACTATATTGAATGGTCATCTACAAATCCATGCTACAATTAAAAGACATATAAGAGAATCAAGCTCATTTTCCTTTATCTTCTTACAGATATTCATTCGTGTAACAATGAATTCACTTAAAAATGCAATGTAAATTCAATGTTTTATTTGCATGCATGGATATATTTATTATACAGGATTTTTTTTGTGGAGATGTTGGGTTCAGATCAACAGTGTCCTGATACTGAATGATTTGAAGTAGAATTCCTTCTCTGCCTTAGGGACTTTGCCAGAAAAGTAGCACTCTTTCCTTCACCTGTTATGAATTAAGTAATTAATATAGTATGAAACTAAATACAAATGCTTACTGAAAATATGAAATTATTAAATTTATGTAATATCTTGAATTAATTCACTGATCAATATCCTTTGACCTTATATCATAGTAAACTAAATAAAACCCCAAGTTAAATAAAGAAGGCAAAATTGAAGCCTTTTAATTTCCTTGGCAATAGCTGCTGTTAAGAGGCATCACTGACAATACTAACTGCCGTCACATCTGGTTTCCAGTTCTATTTTAAATACTGATGTCACCTCAGTAGAAATTGATTTGGCTGACGGTCACATAAGCCTTACCATTTTCCTGTCCAGGCATCACTGACAATACTAACTGCCGTCACATCTGGTTTCCAGTTCTATTTTAAATACTGATGTCACCTCAGTAGAAATTGATTTGGCTGACGGTCACATAAGCCTTACCATTTTCCTGTCCAGTGAATATTTATAGCAGTAAAATTGGAACAGCTTTGGGGAGCGATGAATGAATGAGAACTTGGAATGAGGGAAATCACATTTGTTGCTTAAGATGACTAAGGTGGAATGAGTCTAATTGAGCTTGCTGACCGATGCCTTTCTTCTCAGGACAATGTGTAATGGCAGATGAGGGCAAGGTTAGGGCGGGGAATGGGGTGGGAACAGGAGATCTGAGATCTAAACAGCCCATTGTTTGTTTTCTAAAACAGCAGATCTCAGTGTAGGGTAAGAATGGGGGTTGAATGAACAACATACAGCATGATCTGTGAGAGCTTTAACAGTGGTTTCTCTCACCTGTAATTCAGTCCCCTTCCCCCATATGGAAGTTTCTTCTCTGTATTGACCTCTAATTTTAGAATATTCAAGTCATAATCACTTTGGATCTAGGTAAGAAAGAACTGTCTAGTTGTCCAAAAGCTGCCTCAGTCTCTCACATACGGCATGAGCTCATCACTTCAGACGTCTGAAGCCAGACCAGCAGTATCTCTCCATACCCCACTTTCTCATTTTCATATCAGAAAATGTATTGTAAAGCAAGTTCAGATGATGAGATTTCATCTATTTAATGCATGATTTTTAAATCTCATTATTATGTGTGACTTACAGAAACAAATGTATGGTACTCTCTTCTCTTGAAAAGTTCACTTCTTTACCTAAAAAGAAAAAAAAAGATCTTTCATACATAATAAAAATGTATAGTATTGGACCTATCTTTTCTGAATAATCTTTATTCTCTAAGAAGCTGTGCCCTGATGATTTCTTCGTAACTCATATTTAGAATACCTTGTATTGCCATTAGGCTCAACTTTTGGAAACAGAGAACTGGTCAAGTCACTCCTCTCAAAGAAGGTCCTTAATAAATTCTGTCAGCTACAGGAAACAGTCTAAGATATTTAGCAATGTTTTCAAGGCCCCTTCTTATCAAGTCATTTCTTTCTATCCATACTTTCTAACATTCCTCTCTACCTTCATGAGAGCCGTGAACTACAGGTATGTAAATACCTGTAAATATGGGCAGAAGGAGAGTGTTCTGTGTCGAAGAAACCTACTGAAGTAGCACGTTCATGTGTGGAGAATTGGAGGAAAAGGATGGCTCTTCAGACTTCCCTAGAGCAGTTTCAAGCTACCATTTAAGTTGATCCTGATCCCTATCAGGCACAAGGGAATAGGAACAGAAGTTTGTACTTCCTTCTAGGAAACAACTAGTAGGAGTATTCAATTAGTAGCAATATACTTTAGAAATTATTCACTGTTGGATTTAAGCTCCCATTTGTTTTATAGCCTGTGCCCAGGGTATCTGACGTACTTTGGAATCCCACTGTCCCTTTTATAAAATAGCCACATCTACTAAAATTTAAGGATGAAGTATTTTAAAAGTATTGATCAAAAAATATTGTTTTTAAAAAGTTTAGAGAACTATCATTTAGGTCAAGATGAGTCACAGAAGCTGGATTTACCTTCTTGCCTGGAACAAATTTTAAATTACCAAAAAATATGAGAAGCAACAGTTTCTCAAGATCTGAATATCAAGCTATGAAGAACAGTGATCTCTAAGAGATAGGAAGCAAATGAAATGAACATGATGATTGTCCTAGCTTGCTGCCTACACAGTTTCCAGGCCTCAGGGAAGGGAGATGGAGCTGGGAATCCAGGAAGACCAAGATAGCTGAAATTCACAGGGCAGAGAACCTGACAGAAACAAAGGGACAAAGACATAGATACAAAGATCTAGAATGGTTATTCTATATTCATGCAGCATTATTTACAATAGTCAAGAAACGGAAGCAAAGTATGTGTCCATCAATAGATAAATGGATAAGAAAGATGTGAGATATATATATATATACACACACACACATATATATGTAATGGAGTTATATATGTATAATATATAATATATTATATTTATATACATATATACATATATATATATAAATATATTATATTTCTATACATACATATTTATATTATTCAGCCACAAAGAGAATGAAATTCTGCCATTTACAAGTATGTGGATGGACCTAGAAAGTATTATGCTTACTGAAAAGTCAGAGAAAGACAAATACTCTATGTTATCACTTATATATGGAATCTAAAAATTAAAACAAACAAATGTATATAACAAAACAGAAAAAGACTCATTATTATAGAGAACAAAACTAGTGGTTACCAGTGGGGAGAAGGCAGAGGGGAGGGGCAAGATAGGGGTGTGGGATTAAGAGATACAAACTATGTATAAAATAGATAAGCAACAAGGATGTACTGTACAGCACAGGGAAAGGTAGCCATTGTTTTGCAATAACTTTAAATAGAGTATAAAATCTATAAAAATATTGAATCATTATCATGTGTACCTGAAACATATATCACATCATAAATCAACTCTATCTCAATAAAAATAAATAGATAAATAAATAAAGGTTATTCTTATACTTTCAACCAAGGATACATTATTCATATGAAGATACTACCTCAGATTAGGTAAAAGAACCACTTAAAAGGACAAAACAGAACAGTATCTGGTGCTAACATAGCACAGGAGAAAGCTTTTGATCCCACAAGCCAGAGAACAGAAAACTTGAAATTCACAGGGCATATGATTGAGCATGCAGGATGGTTTGATCTCTGCAATGGGAAAAATTCACCTTAGATCAAAATGTTTCTCTGTTCCTGTGTACTAAAGGCTAAAAGCCTAGTAACCTCACGGTATCCTAAAATGAAAGTTTTCCCCTAATGTCAAAAACAAGGCAGAGATGCTCACTGAATCACTTTAAGTGATTTAATATTGAACTGTGCACTTTAAGCCAGTACAGTATACAATAAAATAAATGGATATAAATAAATGATATCCAGTTTGGAAATTAAAATGTCCATCAACAAATGAATGGGTAGGTTAAAAATTATGATATATCCATATAATCTAATACTACTCTGCAAAAAAAAAAAAAAGAGAGCCTGAACTATTGCTATGAATAACTACATGGACAAATCTCAAAATAATTGTGCTGAGTGACAGAAGCCAGACACAAAAGAGTATATAGTGTGTTTCTGCTTACATAAAATTCTAGAAAATGCAAGCCAATCTGTACTGGCAGAAAATAGATCAAGAACAGGAAAAAGGGGAGGGTTGGATTATTAAAACAAAACAAAGCAAAACAAAACAGGAGGAAACTTCTGGCTGTGGTGGATATATTCATTTTCCTGGTTAGTTTTTTCATGCGTATGTCAAACACAAGTCAAAACTTCTCAAAATACACACTTTCAGTTTTGGTAGTTTGCTGTATGTCATTGTGTCTCAATAAAAGTGTTTAAAATGTTTAAACTGATGCACGTTTGCCTGTTGGGAGATTATGTTTCTTTCCCGCTGCTACAACTCCATGCATCATGGGAGTAAGACTGAGGCAACCCACCTGGTCAGAAGGCGAGGGCTGAGGCCCTGCGGCGGCGGCGGGCTCGCCTTCATCCGGCGCAGTGACGGCAGGCGGCTCAATCTCGGGGACGGTGCGTGGGGGTGTAGGTGGGACAAAAGGTTTAGCTACGTATGGTTCGGCTGCAACAGGTAGAGCTGTCTCAGGTGGGGAAAAAGGGCCCCAACGTCTACTTGGGGGTGGGAGGAAGGGGAGATCCCCACGAGGAGGAGGAGGAGGAGGAGGAGGAGGAGGAAGAGGGCGGGGCAACCAAGAAGGTGTGGGAAAATTGGGAATGCGGTAGAAGGGGGCTCCAAAAGCAGTGAAAATCCAGCGATTTGGGAGTATCCGTGCATCAGGGTCACGATTCCTAGGGTATCTGGGGAAATTATTCCCCGGAAGACTGCTGGGAGGGGCGAAGTCACTCTCTGGCAGGGGATAAGGAATATTCAGAGATGGGTTAATTGGGTAACGACTGCCAAAATTGCCGTTGTAATCCTAGAGAAGAACAAACAAGTCAAAGGTGACGACCTCTATCCTAGCCATACATTACTTATGGTATGACTGTGATGATGTACAATGAGAGAGGATTTTTTTTTTTAAGCATTCCAGTTTAGGCTCATTCTCACAGCTAGTGTGCTTGCATAATTTTTAAACTAGGAGCTAATAATATATTAAGAAAACTGAATAAACCTCAATTTAGAGGGAAATATTTTGTGTGTAGTCAAGTTGGAGTGTTATCAACTGCATAATATGCCAGCCACAGACAGGACAAAAATAGAAGAGAAGAATATGGACAGTACAGGGTGAGCACTTCCAAGCCTCCTCCTCTGCACTGCCCGCCCAGCCTGAGGCCCTCAGGACCCTCAGGGCTTCTCAAGTGCCAGTGGAAGCACTCACTTAGCTCTACCTCTTCCAGCTGTCCTTCCCAGCTCCTCCCACCCTTCCTCAAAGCTTCTACTCCTTCTAGGCCAGGCACCTTCAATTGTTATTAAGAAGGAAAGCAGGCTGGATGTTAGTGATGACTACTAGATTTTTTTTTCTTTCCAATTGAGTTACAATTGGCAATAGTAACACTCTATTGTGTGCTTGAAAGTTGCGAAGAGGGATCTTAAAAGTTTTCATCACAAGATAAAAATTGTAACTATATGTGGTGATGGATGTTAACTAATTGTGATGATCATTTCACAACATACACTACTGGCTTTTCACATTTAATTCTCCCTGTAGTATTTGTGTTTAAATGAGGAAATTATTAATGTTACTAATGCATTTACTGTTATATCTGGCATTGTTTTTTTGGTAGAAGGACCTCCTCATTTTCCTTTAATTGCTTTAGGTCTGTCTCCTACATGTATGTAAAACTGTCAGGGAGCTCCAAGGTCACAACCTTATGTAAGAATTTATAGAAAATTAAGACATTTGTTGGTCTCACATAAAGTTTTACTTCCTACCATAAATTTGTCAGTTTTATAAGCACATTTGTTGTGTATTTCTTTATATATCAAGACTCTAGATTCTTTGATTCATTGCATAGCCCAATTATAATTCAAGAAATTAAATATTCATATAACATAAACCCAGTTTTAAAATCTAATAAATATTTAATATTTCTTATCATATATTTATTTTATGTAACTAGTTGAAGGAGTAATTTTCTTTACATGTACTCAAAGTTAACTTGTCAATAAAAGGCATTATTTATAAACATAGATCCAGTTTTCATATTTGTTGGAAAATACTGTCTTCTTTATCAACAATACATTTCTATGATATAAAACTTTATTTATATAATTTTTATTTAAAAGTGTTTACCTAGTGAGTAGGCAATGAAATTGAGTAGGATATCAGTATGAATAAAAAATTGCAGAATGTATAAATATAAATATGTTAATACTTATAGATCCATTTTTAAATGAGACCATCATAGCAAGAAAAGAGAACATGTTCTGAAATTACTTTCTTAACTTTTCTAGGAAAAACATAATGATACTGACTGAAAAATCGTGCTCTACACCAGAAATTGACACAACATTGTAAACTGACTATAACTCAATAAAGAAAAACAAACATAATACTGAATGATTTAACATTATTAGATAGAAAATGCTATTTAAAAATTAATATAAAATATACTTCTATATCTTATCATATAAACAAATCTAGATATATTTTACCTCTTCACTCGATGAGGCAAAATTCTAAAACAACAAAGAAAACAAAGTAAGTTTAAGCTTCAGGCTCTTGAAAAAAAATCTTTGTTTGGATTTCTGCTTGCATTCAGAGTGACTCTAACTGACAAAACTCTCTGAGTAACTTGGAATTTTCTTTCTTAAGCAATAGAGTTGTTTGCCTTGTTTTCCTGGGACTATGTAGACTCAGTCTTGGTATTACCAATACCTTCTTACAAAGTAGATGAGCAATGGCCAATCCTAATGTCCTACTGGTTCTAGTGTTTCTACACTATCTTTAAATTGCCTTATTCATATCTTTTTATAAACGCTCATGTACACGGAACCAAATGTTTTGATTTAATTCTGTGGCTAGCAACTTATTTACACTAAATTCTTACATTAGGTCATCATCTGTATTTATCACAAAACCCCAGGAACTAAATAAGTCTTTGTAACATAACTTCTCGATGAATGTAGATTGTTCCTCAGTGGCTTTGGGATATTTTAAGTTTTTCTTGATGGATATTCAAGGAATTTTTTAAAAGGGTATAAAATGAATGCCTACTATGTACTGTCATGTGCCAGCTAGATCTTAGGTACTGGAGAGAACAAGATAAGGTTTCTTTACTCATGTCTGAGTTGCTACATCTCCCAGTTGGTCAAGCTTCTTCATTAAAATTTAAAATTGTGTATAATGTTTCCTTCCAACTTTAGTTTGGTTTCCTGAATTAACAAGTTAAAATCATACCTGAAGGTATGATGCATGCTACATAAGTGATAGATGCTCCATAATGTTCACAGAGACAAATATCAGTGATGTATATTGTGAGTATAGAGCCCTAGATTCTTATGATTAAAATCTCAACTCTTTTTAAAAACATTTATTCAATTTATTTTTTTAATTTTATTTTTGTTGATGGAGGTACTGAGAATTGAACCCAGGACCTCAGGCACATGCTCTACCACTGAGCTATACCCTCTCCCCAAATCTTAACTCTTATGAGAAATTCAAAGTAATATCTCTTGCTATTTTCATTTTTTAAATTATTTTCATAGCCTTTATACTCCACCATATATCTAATAGTATTTGTTTAAAAACATGCACGTTCAGATTCTGCCTTTCTTTGCTAGATTGTCATGTTTATCTACTGCATGCTTGTGTATAGATACCAGTATCAATTTTTTAGCACACTCCTGTCATCAAAATTTGAGGCAGAAGTGATGAAAAACTGAACAAAACAAAACAAAACAAAACTAGTATCAGTCAGCTGATGAATGTTCTGGTCTCCTACATAGGGATGATTTGTGAATATTCTCAGCACAGAAATCATCTAACAGCTTGGGACACATTCCTCCTGCTAGTAGTGCCTAGACATGTTTTCTTCTGCTCTGCTCTTTCATACAGGCAGAGCCTTCCTGGATTCATCACTTAGTTTGTTGAAGTAAGCTTAGGATAACATTGTCATAAAATTTTACAGAAGCGTGAGGAGGAATCCTGGGCGTAGCAAAAATTTTGTCACACTACAAAGGGAGTACACTTAATACTTCTAGTCACTGAAAAGAAATAATGAACTTATAGTAAATATGTTAAATGCAAACAGATTTATGCTACATAAACATTTTTCTATAAAATAAGAGATTAATAGCACTGATATTTCAACAGTAAAAGTAGTCACCAAATTGCATTGTAAAAAAATCAGAATTTTAAAGTATAAAATATACTTTAAAAACAAATACATTTATACATAAATGAAAAAAAAAGTTTTACCTCATCAAAGAAGTAGAAACGCTTCTAAAACAAAAGAAAAAAGTAATTCACTATGGTTAGTTATTTGAAAACATCTGTACCTAGATTTTATATTACTGAAGAATTTGTATAATCTTATTATTAGTATAGTCAATTTACTTTTGAAATATAAATCCCTAGTATAAATTATTTATTATCATTATCATCATTATATACTTTTGACATAGACAGTTGTCCCCGGAAGTTCTACATTGGCTGATAGACTTTGGATTGTAATTTCCTAGATACACATAAATCTTACCATCTGAAAGATCACTCAGTCCTTTTCACACATCTGATCTTGCAGATGTGTTTGTTCTGTTACCTCTTAGATTTTGTTTGCAGACTGTGTACGTGGGTGGGGGGTATTTGTGGTCTGTAGCCACCTCCTTACCCAGTTGCAGGACTATGTATAGCCACTTGTTCTCCAGTTAAGCTTCAATATCTTTTATACATTTTTCTCAGATTAAAGAACACAGCATGAGATAAGGATGACAGCAAGTGTAGGAAATTCATCATTTACTGTTTTAAGAATTAGAGTTTAATCCACATGATTTTAAGAGATTTAGAAGTATCTTGAAATTTTCACAGGATGATAATAATTAGTAATACCAGTTAATGATCAGATGATAAAGTTAATAATATCAAGTAGCATTTGAATTCCTACTATAGCCTAGTTACTCTGCTAAGCACTTTACATAATTATTTAATCCTCAAAGTCGTTCTATGGGGTAGATATCAGAGTTTTCTCCTTTTTACAAAAGAGGATATTTAGCACACTCACTGGCTAGGATTAAGAATTTTCCATTGGCTATTTCTTACATTAGAGGCTCTTCTGTTTACACTACATTGATGGTCATTATGTCCATTTACTTTAATTCCATCAAGTACTCTTTATGACTCTACAGAAATACCTCCAGCTGGGACTTTGCTGTCAGAAAAAGCCTAATCCAGTCTTCTATAATATGAAGACAAAGACCGTTAAGGTCATCTACATGAAATTTTGGTTCCCTATAATTATATCCTTCTCTGCCCACTGCATTTCTGAAATCACCTCTTTTCTTCATTGTCAATCCACTTTTGGATCACACAACTTTATCATTTTGATTTTTAAAATTTCTTTTGAAAAGTTTGGCACCACAAACCCTGTGCCCATTAGCACATCTCTCTGCTGCATCGTTATCAACACTATGACAACTTCTATCATGAACATGGATCCCCGGCTACAGTTATTTGATGATTCTACTCTTGCTGCCATTTGAAAAGTCCATCTACTCACCCTTGCAAAAGCAACGGACACGATGCAGGCCCAAAGTAGAAGCTTCATTTTGATCGACCCTATGAACATGAATATTGTAAATGGGTTGCTTCAGAAAATATGCAATATATTTAGTATATCTCTTCTTGAGAGGGACGAAAGAATATATGGCTTTATTTGTCTGACAAGGAAGACCCTTCACAGAAAATTTGGTCCCACTATTTAACTTCTTTCAGCATTACCTCACAGGATGACGCTACCGCCAGAATGACCTTTTCTTGGCAGATGTCCTTCCACAATGAATTGGCTTCTGGCTAAACTTCTTTAAGTGGAACCCACCTCAATTTACTTACCTTGGGATACATTTTGCTATTAATTTGTCTTGGAGGGCTTACAGGAAATAAGATTGCTTAAAAGTAGCCATAAAAAGGGCACTTTATTGAGATTTTTCTTTTTATAGATTCACTGGGTGATTAGTATCACCTTCTTGGAAAAATGTCCAGTCCTACAGTTGTTGCCACCTTGTGCTCTGGCATAAACCTTTGGGCTCTTGATCATCAGTTTTTCCCTCTATCTCTGAAAAATAGTGGGGCAACTGTATATTCAAGTGTGTATCTTGATTAGGCTCAGTTTTCTTCAGATAATGTAAAACCAATCTCTAGTTGGTTGATTATTAAACTCCATGGCTTCTTTCTTCTTAAAAATATAAATTATTTACACTCTTAACAAAAAATGTGTATATAATGCATTTATTACAGCATTATTTAGTATCTCAAAATATGAAAAAAATATACATGGCCAATAAGAATATCAGTTTCAAGATCTATTGCTAAATGAGTACTCAAATATTAAATATACCTGAAGTATTTAATGGTTTATTTATAATTAGTTGATGACTTATTTTAGAATAATTATTTCTGTAATTTCATTTTATCTTCTGTAGTCTGTAATTTTTTTTGTATGAAGTGAGAATATATTCCTTGTATGCTAACTATATTCTAATAACCTTGAAGAATTTTCAAGTTTTTTGATGAGACTCTAATGCTTTCCTTCCTAATTCTTAGCAAAATCTAGGCTGGAAAAATTATATCCATGGAGAAAGCCCTGGAAGTTTTCAAAATACATTTTTTATATTGGACCAGCTGCTTACCTGTTCAACATGACTTTGGCCACATATTTAATAGTCTTTGCTGTAATGTTTCTTGGCATTGTACACCTTTTTTGGAGAGATAACTTAAGATAAAGACCAACAGGATTATTATTATTGTCTGTAAGTTATAAAGACATACAGGACACAAATCTGCGCCTCGTTCTGCTCTCTATGAGCAGCACTGGAGAAGTTCCTTGACAGGTCCCAGTACTTAGGCTTCTCTTGAACTATTGGTATATTTTCATGTCTTAGATACACTGATATTCTTGGTTTTGTGTTTATTTTTGTTCTGTGCCTACCAGGAACTTCAGAGTCAAATATCTTGTGTATTTTCAGAGCTCCATAGGACATTGTGGCATCTTATTTTGGGGTGCTTACATCATCTCTGGCTTTATCTTATTTCCTCTAGTCTTATTTTCCCTTCATCAGAACATTTAAAACTTTTTAAAGAATCCTGTTTTACCTATTTTGCAAGCTGTTTTAAGTCCCTTTAGAATGGATCATATTATATACAAATAGAAAAAGGAAAAAAGTAACCAATCTAATGAATCTTTCTAAAATTGTTTTCAGTACCAAAATTTCTGTTATATTTTAACATTTTGTAAAAAATTAAGGTATTTAATTAGTGAAACAAAAATATCATGAATTTATACCTAAAGAAGATAATGTTTTATTCCTCAGTATAGTTCAGTTATTTTTAAAGTAACCTTATTGTAGAGCTGTAGAGATTAACAATGCAAAGTTAATTGATGTGCCAGTCTTCCCTCTAAATCTTCCCATTTATCCCTTTCTGGGTTTTTGAAACAGGAGGACTTGTTTGGCTGAAGCCAGTTTTTAAAGACAAATTATATGGCAGTAGTCTAATTTACCATATTAATAATTGTCACATTGCCTAATAATTATCTAATAATTGACATATTGTATGGTAGTTGAATAATTTAGAAGAATCTCTCCCTTACCCCACTATTATTGTGGGAACCTATCCACTTGGCCAAAATATAAATATAGATAAAAGAAACTGTGAGAAAACGCACATTCACCTTTTTTTTGACATGCTTTAAAAGAAATTCTACACAAATAGTTTAAATAACATCAGCTTAAATTATTATTATATGATAGATAATCCAATATACATATTTTAATTTAAATTTGACTTCTGTTTTAATATGACAACTTAATTTAAGGAAGCTCTAATGCTTTAGCAATTCTATTAAAGAGAAATAAGTATTTCTTCTTCATAAAGAATGTAAAAATAAAGTTTTTATGCCTGTCAGAATGATTAACAGCTAATGAAGGATAATAAAATTATAATTTTAGTCTTTAAAACAATCATTTCAGAAATGGAAAAACCCCAGATTTATCAGCATTTAAAAATCTTTTCTCCAGTGTATCAGTGTATCAGTTTATCTACCCATATATCACTTGGAATATAGTACTTTAGAATGCTCCATAAGGAACAAAACATTTATAATGCTTTTTCTTTTTCCTTTTCCTCAGATTTTTCCCCCCTCAAATAGCTTTTAATTGAGAGGAGCTTACTTGACCCCACTGTTTAGTTCTTTAGAAGAACATAAGAATTCTTGAGTAGAACAAACCCATCCTTCTAGGGTTTATGTGAACTTTTGTGTCCAGAGTGAACCTACAGAAAAAAATCCCTTTGATAAATCTCCTCTCATGAAGTCTTAAGTGAGAATTCAGGTGTGTGGGGATTAGATTTACACAACACCCCACTTTACCAACCTCTCCAAGCCAGGACAGAATGTAAATATGCCAACCATTTATATGCCAACTACTCTGTTCAAGTTCATCTAGCTGAGACCCATTAGAGAATCTTTTAAAAATAAGAGCAATTTAATATGGTCGGAAAAAACAAAAGATACCTTGTTTCCAGTATGCAAACTAATGGCTGTAGATCCTGGTCTTACTCTGGACAATGTGCCTCACTCCCTTTCCTCCAGGGGTATTTATAAGAAGTACTTAAATTAATGTTTCTTCTTTGTTTTGAAATAAATCAGCATTAAATCTGGAAAAATAGAAACCTATCAATTTGGCTGACTTGGCTGTAAATTACTTTCCTCATTTCAGAGAACCATAAAAACAGGGAAGTTCCCTTATAATATGACAGTAAAAGTCAAACCTGGAAACTACATTTAACTTAATTCCCAAATACACTTTGTGAATGTTCATTACTTGACTGAATTTTGGCATCAGTTAGTAAGTGCAATAAAGGAATCTTATGCTTTATTTCATTTTATGTTAAGCGTGGAAAAGATTGGTAACCATAAATATTTTTAAAAATAACACTGTGGTGTCTCTTCCTATACTAGTGTTATAAATATCAATTACCTACTATGGTTAAAGATGAAAAACAGGAAGAGCCCTTCCATCGTGTCAATTTACTGCTGACAATCCAATATCTCCAGTTATATGTAAGATCAAGTAAGAAATGATGATAATGACTATCACTGTTTGGCATAAGAGTGATGTGAAGGGATTTCGTCTGATGCCCTCTTGAATTATGATAGTGGCTGTGGTGTTTGTTCAGGGTGAGAGAACCCCCTCTCCCGAGTGTGCAGTGTTCTCTCTGTGGAATCAGTTAATACAAACCCCACACTAAAGGCCTCATAGAAGAAAAAGAGTGCTCATATACAAGTATAAATATATTTACTTCATCATATACTGAACAATAACATGTGTCTGGCCTTTAGTAAAAAATTATAAGATACACAGAAAATCAAGAAAAAATCTGAAGATAAAAAAGCAGTCATCAGAACCAGAGCCAGTTGTTACACAGATATTGGGGTTCTCAGAGAATTAAAATAATTGAAATTAATAGATCGAAGATTCTAATGGTAAGATAAACTGATGCAAGATCACAGGGGTAGTTTTCAGCACAGAGATGGAAACTGTAAGGAAGAAATGAAAATGCTAGAAATCAAAATTTTACTAAGAACAGAGAAACAATGTATTTGATTGGCTCATTGGTAGACTCAGCCCAGGAAAGAATCAGAGAACTTGAAGATGTGTTTCCTTCCCTCCTTCACATAGTTATTATAATAATGATTATTGAGTACTATTATAGATGCTAGAGACTATGAGAACTGCAGACCATTAAATAAAAAGTAATCTGGGGCAGATTAAATAATTAAAAGTTAAATTAAAATCAGACCTTTGGAATATAAAGCTTTGAAGGTGTTACCTTTTTGTGAATGAAGCCATTGGAAAGATGCCTGTGAACTTAACTGAGCCTGTACTTTAGACTATTACACTAGAAATGGGTATTATTGAGTCCATTATTGTCTGACTCAACAAGGCAGAAAATCTGTGGATTATGTTTGACTGTATAAACACAAGAGCACCCTTCTTCTGTTTTATACAGTTTCATACTCCACAAACAGGAGGTGATTTTAGAATACTGGTAGACCAGAACACATCCTGTTATTTTGTAATAATGGAAATAGGATACCTTTATTTGTCATTGACTGCTACACTTTCGGAAATGTTGGGGTGTTTAATTTACAAGAGAAATACTCAATAAAGATATGCTACTAACTATAGTTGTACATATACAACCCATAGCCAGATTTTTGTAATGTGTTTTCCTACTTTAGTATGTTTTAAATCTCTTTCAATTACAGGAAACTCTTTAGCTATCTGGCCGTACCAGTAATATAAACTTAAACCTGGAGAGTCTTCGACAAATCCTTGAAGATCATTTACTGATCGCAAAAAGGAACTATGATAAATGCTAAGCTCCAGTTTAATTTATAATAAAATATTAGGTCTGAAATTTATGTAATATGTGAAATTCATTTGAATGTCAGATAATGTTTTGGCTACTAGGGACTCAGGTGAAGCTCTGCTTACACATTGACCCTCGTGTTGCTTACATTTCAATTTGGGAAGCCAGTAAATATATAGAGAGATTTAGAAGTAAATTGGGTATATCTGTCTAATTTTGGGGGTCAGCATGTAAGACCTGATGTTATCTAGAGAATTAGGAACTGATTTTAATGAGCTGATTGTAGGTGGCAATTAAAATGGTTAAAATGGATAAGATCATTCAGGAAAAAATATGTACAATTTTAAAAAAAGTGGCTGAGGTCAGAGCCCTAGAGAACATTGGTGTTTGTGTAGGAGAAAGAGAAGTATTTCTGCAAAATACCTATAAAAAATAACTAAAGAAAGAGAATTATAAGAATTATCAGGAAAAATATTAATCAATAGGTTCACTAGAATGATGCCCCTGGGGGCAACTTATTCTTTTTTGACTACAATTTTCTCATCTGCCAGGTATAATATTGATATGTATTTGTAATATAAAAGTAGTATTAATACTCGTAAGGATGAAGCAAATATATAAATTACCCTGCACATAGCTGTTAAATTAGTTTTAGATATTATAATCATCATTATTACTTTGCCCTAATGAACGTCATTGAAAAGGATAGATTATAGAGGTAATTTTAAAAAGCACTAAAAGAGCTGTTAGCTTTGAACTAAAGATCACCTTACCCCTTGAGACTTGAAGGAGACTGTTAAAGCTATGTTCAGATTTAGATCGAGCTACTGAGGTGTCATACTAGGGAGGTGGTTAGTGGTTAGGCTTGATGGACCATCTCTGTCAATAAAGTAGAAAGGCGAATTTTTTTTCTAGTGACATAATTGAAAGTTTAGGGAGACTTGAGAAAGGCAGCTAACTCTAATGCCAACAAGACAAAGTTGGATAAGCAGTCTTTGGTGACTGACAATGTTCAGAAAACAAACTTACTTTAACATTCAGCTGCTTGCATGGAGTGGCAGTAGAAATTTAGTTCATGGTTGGGTGTTTTCCAGTAGGACAAGGACAGAGGGGCAGGAGGGTTCCATGAGTTTCCAAGATGATATTTAAAATAAGAAAGGATGAAGTCTGGGCTGTGTAAGTGAGGCTAACAGGAAATGGAGAGAATGGAATATAATCAGAGTGCTAAGGGATGAATGTTCTATGAAGACAAAGAAAAATTCTCTTAGCTTCTTCCTGTTCCACCCTTTCAAAGTATATGGCATATGTTACCTCCTTCTGACAAACCCTTCAGTATTCAGCCTGAATAAGAAAGGAAGTGAGGCAGAGGGCTTGGATGGAGTGGAATACAATGAGAGGGTTAAAGAGATTGCAGTCTTCTACGAAATCAAAGAAGTCTCCAATTTTTAAATCTTTTCATCAACGGTACATATCATATAATGTCACTCCCCTGTGAAAACTCCTCCATTGCCTTTCTATCACAGGCAAATGCTTAACACAACTGTCTAAGCTCAAATCACTTTCATCTTTATACCTTCCTCCTTGATCTACTTTCTTTAACTTTTCCTGTCCCTCTGTCTTCTCTGGACATATCATCCCTCCAGAGTTTTCCCTTACATCCCATGCATAAACCCTCTTATTTGCTTTTGCTGTTTCCCCATGTGTTGATCTCATTAATGGGGGCCTTGGAAAGTTTATGTTCTCAATGTCTCCTCTAGTGTAACAATGTGAACTGGGAGGAGGACTGAGGGCTCTGGTGAAGGTTTGGGATTAATGCTGTGGCAAATTATAAGCACAAATAAATTTAAAAAATGGTAGCACAATGACCAAATAGTACTGTGGCCCTAGCTGTGGTTGGAGAATGTAACTTGTAACGTCCAAGGTTAGCCATTGTGAGAAGTAAAACTGAAGTACCGAGAAACTATACAGTTATTTTTCTGGCAGCCAAGCTGGTTTAAAGTAATTGTTAAAGGACTGTTTATATTATCATCAGTAGCCTCGTGGGCCCATATGAACGATAAAAATGACAATTATACACCAATGAATGCATCTGAAATTTTATTTTCACGGAAAAAGAAATGTAGTTCTATAACTCAAAGAGTAGTGAAAACATTTTCAATATCATCAGCTAAGTTCGTATATAACCACAATACAGACCCAGTATACTCAACATGAACTAACGGGATGGTATAAATACTTCAGGAAATATTCTGCACAGTCTTCCTTTTCCTCAATATTTCTATCTTATTAATGGGCCTCTCCAAATGTGCTGGTAGGATGAAGTAAAGTGGTAGATAAGAAACTGCAGAAGATAGATTTTCCAGTTGAGCCTAAGAAGAAAATGATAATATTGTATTATCTACTAGACTTATATTCCAGAAGTAATGTATGTCTATACACAGAATAACACATATCCATCCATCCTTAGTCTAACAGAATGTTATTATTTATAACTATTATTAGTTAATATTTTCTAGTGCCCAATATGATATCTAGCAAATAGGATTTTAATAACTATTTGTTAAAAAAAATTAATGAATGAGTGAAAAATGATATCCAGGTTCTTCAATCCAGCATACCAAAGTAATATTTATATTTATTTCTTAAATGGTAAATATTTCCATTTTCAGCCAATTTTGAAGGAACATTTAATTATCCTTATTTTCCAAACAGTTTATTAGAAATAAAATATTACTGCTTCCTACATTTAAAATCCTTCAATTAAATTAAAATCTGGATTTTAGTGAAAAAATATTTATTATGCAAAATTACTTTGGGTTGATGTTTTAAGAAATCGCTTTAAAATGAATAAATTCTTCAAAATCTATTGTGCATTTTTTAGTTACTGTTTATTTTATAATTTTTCTGTCAGTTCAGTGGCTTTTGCCTTTTTGTTTTCCCTCTGCCATTGCTCTGCTTAGTCTATTTCTAATTATCTGAAAGCACTTAGTTTAGGACTTAAGTCTGATGTATCGCTTGACCTTTTTGTGCTACCATGTACTTCTCATGCCTCTAACTTAGCATTTGGCACACTGTATTGCCATTTCTGTGTCCTTATCCGAAACAGAGCTCAATGAGGAAAAGTTTGGTATCTTATTTCTGTCTCCCTCATGTCTCTCACATTATGGGACACATGATCAGCTTTTTAAAAATGTAGAATAGGTATATAAATAATGATAGCGAGGAGAATATTGTTTTTTATAAAATACAGCTATATTTTCAGCTCTTACCCATAGTAGTTACTATTTTTCTCACATAAAATTATTTTGTGAAGTTGTCCTGCCCTTTTTCACATTTGGAGGGTTGAAATGACATGATCAAACAAATCAAGTTTGTGACAATGTACCTAAAGTTAAAAAATATCCTCTAAAAAAATCCCCGAGCTGGACTTTGGGTGTAGTTTGGCGTCAGCAATGGAGTGTTGAGTCCTAGAGCTGGATATGAGTGTTAGAGTCTTGGCTCTTCCGCTGTTGAAGGGTGATCACAGACAATATGTTTAACTTCTGTGGCTTCAGTGTCCATATCTCAAATTGGCTGGTAATATTAACTACCTCCTAGGTTTTTCTGTGACCATGAAATTTATTAAGATAGGCAAAGGGTTTAAAATTGTGACCAGCATTCTGAGGCCTCAACAAATTATTACTACTGTTATTATTCATTTCTCTGAAACCTACTTTGTCCTGTTGCAGGGCATATAAAAAGAACAAGAAGATAAATTGAGTGAGACAGAATTCCAAGATTGGAGATAACCTATATACTGCAAGGACAATATTAAGAAAAATAAAAGGTAACTATACAAAAAAAGCAACACTAATATGCATTAGTTTCTTTGGGTCTTCATCATGACTTTTTAAAGCAATGGTTAAAATGTCAAAGAAAGAAACTAGGAAAAAAAAATTTTGTGTATTGAAAAAAAATGATGATTTTTTCCAGAGAAAATGATGCAGAAAATTTGTTTCAGAAAATCTTCTATAGGAAAACTCTCTTGACGTGTATCTTCCACCAAACTGAAATGCTGTCTCTACTTCTTGGCTCAACTCAAAGGCAGTAGGTTAACATCTCCGTGAACATTATGCTTGTGACAGTTTCCACCCAGAACTATTGCTTGTGGCTGAATGTATCATCAGCTCTAGAGAAACTTTCTTAAAATTTATTTTCAAAATAGTTATAAAATGCATGCAAATTACACAGAAAACTTACACTTGTGAATCAAAAAGGTCTAAGCAAAATTGAAAATATTTCATAAACCAAATAGGATTTAATTAAAGTTGAAACTATATTAAACAGTATTATGGTTGCAGTCTTTGCACAAAAATCCTATTTATTGTTTAAATTCCAAGTCTAAAGGCACTTACCATAATCAAGTAGAAGCAGTTAATTCAAGAATCTTAAAAGTATCTCTTTAAAAGAGAAAGGAATAACATATTTTAGCTAAATGTTTATAATAACAAAAGAAAGGAATATTTACATTTCCATGGAGATATTTAGAATGTTCTTTTGGCATCTCATATTCAAACTATAGGACTAAATTCTTATTTTCTCTAATCATACGGAGGATATCTTTAAATGATATAATAAAGTAAATCATATTTTTAAAAATAATGCAAAATGAAGTGACTTGTCAAAATCAAAAGCTTATTTAATGTCAGATCTTCTGATTCCAATCCTCTATTCTTTGTACTGAATTTTCAGTTCTCTGGGTTCAAGTTACTGCTTTCCCACTTATTCCTTATATTAAAAGATGTTTCTTAAGTCACATTTTAAAAAATGAAATAAAGGAGAATTGTAAATTAGAGCTTGGTCCAGCTAATTTTAGAATTTCAGATAATTTTATAAAAAGTAAGTAATAATCTCTATCTTGACCTACCTTCAAGAATTACTATAGGAATTCACTGAAACATGAGCACACACTCAGTAAATTTAAATCCAATGTAAATGCAATTTATCATTATAATTATTTTCGCTTATTGTAGCTATATTTGTACCATATGATTTATAATTTTATTTCCAGCCTAGAATTTTTAAATTTAATTTTGTTTCAGCTTCTGCTTGAGAACTTGTTGGAATTTTATGTCTCTATTTCATGTCCTTAGCTTATTTTTACTACAAAAGATAACTTTTTTTAAAACTATAAATAAAAGGTAGAACTCACCAAATTGGGAATAATTTGGTAAGCTTTTACCTTGATGTGATTCCATGGAGTCATAGTTTTCTGATATTGATAAACAGTCTTGAGATACTCTGGCCAGAGGAATGTCTGATAATATTGGTAGATTTTGTTCTGAAAAAAATTGTAAGTAATTTTGTGTCAGAGCACACCTGGACATAACTAAATAAACTAAAGCTTGATTTATTTGGATAAATTCTAAATGATACCAAACAGACTTAAGCAAAAGAAAGTTTATTCATTTAGAATTAATTCTATGTTTTGCATTCATAGAATGAACTGTAGAATTAAGAATATTCTTTCGTTTTTTCAGACCCCAATGCCAAAGTGCTTAAGTGAGAGGAATAAAGAGAAAAGGAAAAAGAAAAAAAAATGTGCAAGAAGGCAAAAGGATAATTTCTTAATTTACTGAAATAAGCGTTTCAGATTGTGGTTTTTCCATGTCTAGTGGAAACACTGTGGTCCTTAGAGTCATATAGAAGGTGTGATTTAACTTAGCAGATATCTGTGACATTGAGCCAACTGTTACTCTCTCTGAGTGTCACTTACCTTCTGGAAGTAAATTAATTAATATAGAGAGAGCATTTTGCATAATGCCTGACACCTATTTATGATTGCTAAATATTTCTCTCCTTCATGTTCTATTTCGAACCATCTATATGGGCCCAACTATGGATTATTGCAGGGATTAAAATTGGAATTAAACACAGTAGCATCTGCCTTTAAGATAATTTGCTGCTTTTACAAAATGAAAAATCACTGAGTTTTTAGAATAACAAGAGAATAATGATGATACCATTGGTCCAATGAGAGAATGTTTTCGTAAGAGTTTTGACAAAGTAAAGGAAGACTTATAGAAATTTGATTTTATTTTAAAAAATTTGTTTTGTTCTGTTCTGTTGAGAGGATTGTGGCTCAGCAGTGTCCACGCTGAGTCTGGCTGTGTTATAAACGTTTGTATGAAAAATTTACCAGAAATTTTTGGTGATCCTTTTCTTCTTCAGTCAATTCAGTTTTCTGTTAATAATAAAAATAAACTTTGATAAATACAGGAGAAAATATCAAAGGTTAATATTTAGTAAATTTTGTTTGAATGGAAAGTACTTACCTTAGTGAATACCTCTGTTGATTCCTTAGGGAAAGAAAATGAAAGTCGGCTTTACTTGGATAGCTCACTGGTAATTTTGTCTTTATCATTCTCAGAGAACTAGAGTGAATTAGTTTAATAATTCAGGGCCAAGCCACTGTTACAAAGCAACGAAGTGCTACTTTATAGAAATTGATTGTGAATTTAGTGAGTTCAAATATTCATTATCAGAGCATTCTCTGTGTCAGCATGATACCTGACTGAAAATATGTTTCAAATTTTCTGTTTATCTGTATTTTTCACATAATGTCAGATTCTCATGGAGTATGTGCAGGTACAAAGGGAGAGAGAGAAGGAGACGGTGAGTGAGAGAGAGAAGAAAGCTAATCAGCCTGCATAAACTTAGGAAGACCTTCATTTTTTTTTTTTTTTTTTTGGTGGCCATGGACCCCAAGTTTGAGAGAAAGGGTAAAGCATGCTTCCTAAGGCCTTTGAGGAAGAAGCTGTGCTGTGCCTCAGGCCACAAGACTGTGGGCTACAATCCACGCTTCGTCCTCTCCCAGGACGCTTTCCCATTGTGCTTACCGACTTGGCTGTTTCTACCACAGCAGTTTTGTACCTGTGATTTACAGAACTCATAACCCAATCCAGTATTCAACCCCCTAAACAATGAGAGAGAATCAGGGTAAAATTTTGCCGAAGGCAATTGACAAGATGCTGATTTGACATTGGCTTATTTTTAAAATGCCTTATTTAAAATTAACTTAAAAATAAATACCAATGAACCAGAGTCCAGTGAAAATTAGCAAAGGCATGGGATAGAACAGCTAGTCTTGACTATGTAGATAGTTCATTTCAGGTGTCAAAAATGACTTTGAACCTGTGTATATTTCTTACAAGGGTTTTTCTTCATTTCCATTTGCTATTTTGATGTGGTTCTGCTAAAACAAATTAGCAATACATAATTTACTTAAAATAATTAACAGGAAAGTGCAGTATTTCTCAATAAACTAGTTGGTTGTTTTATTTTAAAATCATCATTTTTCTCACTAGATGAACTACTAGAAGATTCCTTTAGAAACAAACAAAATAACCAAACTTTGGGGACCAGAGTAATTGAATCCTTCGTATATTTTTAATATTTATGGAATTAAAAGTCTTTCTCATACTACAAAAAGAATATTAGTATGAGAGATGAAAAAGAAGAATTGAAGTAAATTTTCCAGCTCAAAAAAGTAAAAATCTGATTGAAAAAAGAAAGATTTCAGATAAGCCTAGCTATTAATATTTTAATACTAGTTTTTGAAAATATGACTTAAATATATCTTTATATAGAAATAATAATACCTTACCGTATCAACAGTCTTCTTTGAATTTTCCTTAAAGAAATGAGTTAGACATTTTATTCTCACTGTATTGTTTATACATAATTTCCTCTTGAATATATGTATAAAACCCCTCTTTTATAAAGAAGAATAATTAAATTTATTTTCTTTGCTTTTGTAGATTGCTATTGTATCCCAAAGATCTAGAACCATGTAAGGGACATATTACTTGTTAAATACCTACTTCTTAAGTGAATGATGAGTGACATATCTCATCAGTGAACCAATAAATAGATAAATAAATTTCATCTGATTGGTATGCATAACCACATCCCCTCCTGCTTACATTTATATAAAATGAATAATAGTTATTGTATACCATAACAAAATAAAAAGTAATTTCTTAACTGCATTTAATATAAGTGATTTTGACTTCCTGAGAGAAGTTGGCAGATTCCGTAAAAAAAACTGAAATAATACATTTTAACCTTGTTGATAAAATATGAACCACTTGGATTGTAGCACTTTGTATGGATCTTGATGAACTAGAGTTCTTATTTCAGAATGGTACATTGGATTCCTCTCACTATGTTTACAAAACTTAAGATGTACACCATGACTTGTGGGTGATATTAATTTCATTTTATTTGAATGAAAATTACTTACCTCTGTGGGAACTTCAGTTGATTCCTTAGGGGAAGAAAAGAAGAATTAACTTAGCTTTATAGTCGTACTGGAGTAGAAGGGGCAATTAATTCAATATATTTAGAGCCCAGGAACTACTATTTTTTTCGGAATTCAGTAAATAAATATTCAGAGCCCTCACTTTGTGTCAGAGCAGTAACATGTGACTGAAAGTATGTTTCCTTTCAAAGTTTTCCTCAGTTCTACATTATTCAGCCTCCTGTGCCACAGCAATAGTAATAGTGACTTTGGGAAAAGCAGTAGTATTAATTTTTTGGTAAGGTCTACTAGCCCAAATCTAA